TGTGGGGCCTGAACTCTGGGCCTGGGCACTGTCCCTCAGCTCTTCAGCTCAAGGCTAGCACTCTACCATTTGAGCCACAGCGCCACTTCTGGCTTTTTTTTTTTCGGCTTACGTGGTGCTGAGGAATCGAACCCAGGGCCTCAGGCATGCAAGGCAAGCGCTCTACCACTGAGCCACCTTCCCAGCCCCCATGTACCTTTCTTAAGAAATAATTAAAGGAGAAAATATTTTATAAAGGTTGGGTTAAAAGTATGTGTTCTTGGAAATAATTTACATTTCCTTTCATGCTAATTTTGTTGCCTTTGAAATCTGAAAGAAAACCTCGAATTTGATCACTTTTGAAGGAAACTTGTTTATAAGTTTGATATAATATTTTCAAGAGTAATTGATCACCATCAAAATTATTATTTCTAGCTGTTTATGGTAACTGTAATTCCAACACTTGTGAGGGTGAGCCAGGCTGATTACAAATGTGCCGTCAGCCTGGGCTACATAGTGAGATCCTGCCTCAAAATAATTATATTACTTACAACAACATTTTATTGGTCACCAAAGTGTTGAACTATTTCTAGTGTCTTTAAAAATTTAAAAGCTTTTTAAAAATTTACATTGGCATGTATATTTGATGTTATTATTTTTTATTTGGTAGTCCTGGAGCTTGAACTCAGGGCCTGGGCACTTTCTCTGTGCTCAAGGCTAGTTAGTGCTCTACATTTGAGCCACAGCGCTACTTCCAGCTTTACCTGTTTATGTGGTACTGAGGAATTAAACCCAGGTTTCATTAATGCAAGGCAAGCACTCTACCATTAAGCCACGTTCCCAACCCCCAGTGTTAAACTTTTTGAAACAGACTAGGATAGCAAACCTCATCTTGTTGATCTTATTTTGTATTGTAGCCACTTTGCCTTCTTGGAAGTATGATGTGTCTAAAAGGGTTGTTTGTAAGATTTATTATCAATTTCTATTTTAGCTTGCTAAGTACTGTGACAATTTGCTAAAAAAGTCAGCAAAAGGGATGACTGAGAATGAAGTAGAAGACAAACTCACAAGCTTCATTACTGTTTTCAAATATATTGATGATAAAGATGTTTTCCAAAAGGTAAGGTGTGAAAAGTTTTGATTTGAATTGCTAGTTTTGTTTATTTTTGAAATTATAAAAAGTAATATTTTAAACATACTTTTTCATGTAGTTCTATGCAAGAATGTTGGCGAAACGTCTAATTCATGGGTTATCAATGTCTATGGATTCTGAAGAAGCCATGATCAATAAATTAAAGGTAATATAAACGTTTGTCCTGAAATTATTACACATAAATGTCTTCACTGCTGCATGGTAGGGAATAATGGGAAGTAATTCATTAACATGGACAGGTTCAATGTATGACGGTCTGTGTAGGGAATTATGTTCCTGGTGGCATGACTCAAGTAGTAGAGCACCTGCCTAGCAATACAGGGTCCTAAGTTCAAACCCTGGTACTGGGAAAGCAAAAAAAAAGTGAGGGGGGGCGGCTATGTATTTCCATATATGCTTACACAGAAAAGATCTCCAAGATAATTAGCATTAATTTGAAAATAACTAATTTTACTTATGAATGAATACACTTGTAGTGCAGGTGAATTTGAGTTCATTTTTCTTACACACCAAGAGAAGTAAGTTGATTTCATATTGGCTGTTAGGAAATTTATGTGAAAGTTCTGTTTTTTTTAAAAAAT